TACGATGCCTTGACCCCAGCGTGGTAACGCGCGAGCTGCGGAAATTACGCTTGCGCTGGTTCCATGCGAAAGAGCCTAAGACGAGACTTATCTTAAGCAAGATCGGTCTGGACAGTGTCTGACGCAACCTGATAACAAGGTGTCTGCGACACATGTCGGGAGTGCAGAGCTTGGGACAAGCCTGGGCATACTGTTATGCCCTCTACCGCAATGCCTGGCAAATTTCATGAAGAAGTGGAATGCGATCTGATATTCTACAAACAAGAACACCACATCTTCCATAGCATCGATCGCTGTATACGATATGCTACTGGGATTGAGATACCAGACAAGACTATGACAAGTATCCTGGATGCATATCATCAGTGCTGGATGCAGTTTGGACTTGCAAACGTACTCTACTCCGACGGAGAGGGTGCCCTTAACATCGACACTGCGAAAGCAGCCCTCAAGGCAAAACGCGCTGAACTTAGGATGCGCGCGCGTGGACAGCACGCAACGACGATCGAAGCCAGAAATGGCATCCTACGTCATCTACTTCACGTCATGGAAGCTGAACTCAATAGGTTGGACATACCTCTTGTGTTTACCCGACTACTGCACGAGGCCTTGTTCGCCGCCAGCGCGTTCACCTTCTATAACGAGGTGTCACCATATAACGCTCTGTCTGGACGGCAACCAGCATTGCTCCCTGACCATCCTGTCCTGGGCCACGAGCAGCCGACGGAAACGTCGGACCATTCTCGTGAGCAGACGATGCGCAGGCTATGTATTGGAGCTATCCCAAAGGCCACAGCAGTAGCTAAGACCAATCGTGCCTTACGCACTAAAACGACTATTACTGGTCAGCACTTTTACGATGAAGGAGGCTTGGTCGATTATCATCGCCCCACGACCGCGAAGGATGACTGGGGAGGCTGGAACGGCCCGTTCCCGGTTGTAAAGAATGATCCTGAAAAGGGGTCAAGTCAGTATCAGAGTGGGCAATCGAGGCGTTCAAGTACAATACGGCGATGCAAGACATTCACTATATATTGAAGCACTGATAGCCCGAGAGATTGGCTCCGACAACACAGCACTACGCACAGCGTCGACATTCGCGGCCAGTCTATCAGCGACCTGCTCTGACCTGTGGCTATGTGCCGACCAAGAATGGGGCGCTTCAGATGACGCGTGCAAGCCGTCTATCTCCTAAGGTACATCTAGCGTTACAGTATCTTATCAGAAACTTCTTCCGCATTGAGAATGTAGTTTCAGTCAGGCTAGCCGAGAGAATTCATAAGCTGCCTCCGGTTACTTATGCTGACAGCTGTGCATCGGTCCACCATGACAACGACGTGAATCCATGATTTCATGATGATGAAGCAGAAAGTACTGCTTTGAATGTCCACGATATACTTGATCAGCACATTCGAGAATTATCCAATGCCTGAAGTCCACAAAACCCAAGCAGGTTTTGATCGAGACATGACAGAATTTGAGGAATGCGGGAGCCACAAGAGAAGCCTCAGAAGCCGAACTACCACATGATGATGGACGGTTTTCTACGATCTACGAAGAAACAGAGGTTGACCTCGAGTCACATGTGATGGAAGTGCGGAACGCAGAACTACGAGAGGACAGGGAACTGCTGGAGGCAACTCCACCAGAGGACCTCTTTACCATACCTACACACATGGTTCCAGATCAAAGTGTGCAGATCACTGTAGCTGATGAACAGCGGGGGCGCCTGCCGAAGTGTGGACTCACTCACAACTCCGACACCGAGGAGACGTACTGCGTCCCAATGTGTACCATGGTCGAAGACGACAGCTACGGAGTGGACTCAGACGAAAATGATCGATATGTCGAACTCTGCTTTACGGCAGAAATGTCAAAAGTAGTCCTGCCCGAACAACGACACATGATACTAGATGCCGTCTGGGTGACCACTATGCGAGTATACGTAACCGACGCTGCAATGCGAGCTGCGGTCGTCAAGGAAGACGACCTTCTCGCGAAAGCTGACATCCAGGCGAATCCCGATAAAGTATCGAAAGCCCTCTACACCGAACCCAAGACATGGTTCGACAACAAGTGTTTTTTCTCCCAAATTATATGTTTTTAAGATGCAAGATATAGTTAAAGCGTCGAACATCATGACTTCGAGATACGCGTGCAAATGGAAGTTCGTGAAGCACGAGAAGGGCGAGATGGAACGTACCATCAGACTACGCCTGGTTTTCCGGGGTTCCATGGACCTTGAAGCCTTCGACGTAGAAGCCTTTTCGGGAACAGCGCGACGGTCAAACCAGAGGCTACTTGCCAGCACGGCAGCGTGTAAGAAGCAATGGATCATCGTTTCCCTCGATATCAACATGGCCTTCTTGCAGGGATCGACCTATCAGGAACTTGCTGAAGCTTCTGGTGAAAAGGAACGTGTTGTGTGTTTTACTCTGCCGCCTGGATCGGCCACAGTGCTCCGAACTCTCCCAGGATTCGAACACTACGATGAGTCAAACGACTGCCTGCAGTGCTTGAAACCAGCGCGGGCACCAAAGACGCACCGCGGGCTTTGTCACGAAAGCTCAGAAGGGCCGCCAGAGGTTTTGGTCTCCGACCCACGTCCTACGACGAGGAGTTCGAGACGAGCAACAACTTGCCCACGGCCAAACATGTTGATGATATCAGTATGGCCGGCACTGAGGACACCATTGACAAGTATGTCAAGTGCGTAGAATATACTTTTGGTAAGTGTAAGCTCAACAAGCACACATTCACCAATTGTGCTGTGATATGCACCAAGGATGAGGACGGCAATGTCATTTTGGACCAAGATGAATACATCAAGCAACTCCGTCCTATACAACGCCCTGAGCTTGCCGGCGCCGACGCTGACGCTCAGGCATCCAAGATGGTTGCAGACATGTTCCTCAGCCTCAGGGGCGCGCTGGCGTATGCATTAATCACCCAGGTGTGGTTGATGGCGTATGTTGTATCTCTACACCGTGTCCAAGAACCGACCAACATCCAAGTGCGACGACTGAACGCGATCACAAGGAAGCTACAGGCCTGCCCAAAGAAGATCGTCTACCAGGCGATGACTCCTACGGGTGAGGTCGACCTGCGTAGCGACTCAGGATACCGAGGCCTGAGTGGCGACGCCGACGACGACGTCAAAGGCTATGGTATTCGCGGGGCAAACCTGCTACGACGTGGAAACACGTCATCCGGCAAGCCTGCCGTTCACTTAATCGACGCGGACTGCAAGTCTCACCGCTTGCAGGTCCGCTCGAGCTATTCATCAGAGACACAAGCAGCAGCCCATACTTTGGAGGACTGTTATCCCACGATTGTGACTTTGCGCGAGCCCCACGCTGGGCCGCTCACGCCCACCCAGTTGAAAAATATACTTGAGTTGGGTGGCCTGAGCATCAAGGTCACTTTGACCATAGATGCTGAGTCTGTTTTTAAGTCCTTGTCAAGCAAAGACTTGAAGAAGCCGACTGCGTGTACCCTTTTAGGACACATCAGGTGGATACGACAGATGATGGAACGTGGAATCGTGTGCAGCATCCACTGGCGCGACACCCGCGATATGACCGCGGATGGTCACACCAAGGGGGGCATTGACACAGAAATGCTCCTACAAGTCATGGGAGGTATACAGGCCTTCAAGCATGACCTGAAGAGACATACTCCATATCGGGCCGGCAAGACATCTAGATCTGACGCCGCCTGAGGAGTACTTCAAGTACAGAACTGTACATGCAAGGCAACTTGCGAGCGGGCTCGCTTCCTTATGGCCCGCCTCATTTTCTGTCCTTGTGTATATCAGCTGCTGCGCCTGCTGTATAGGGGCGACGGGCTCACGCTTCGTCCCCCTCCCCCCCCGACTCTAAAGCGAGCTTAGGGACGTAAGGAGTGGAAGCGAGGGTGCGCCCTCGGCCGCGTCGGCTCAAGCGGCCGGCCGCTCAAATATGACTGTGCCTCACCGCGGGGCACACAATCGCTATCGAGACAAAAAAGATTTGCCTATTGCTTAAGATGGCACATCCTCTCCTGCTGGGACTATCGTTACTACGGTACAACTGAGCGGGAGCTTGGCTTCGCCTCAGGCGAAGCTGCTGGCTGGGCCCCCCAGCCCCCTTCAAACTCCTCTCGCTCACTCTTCCGCTGGGGGGGGGGGTCCCTGGGACTGGGTGGGTCCCAGGACCGGGTCGTCCCGAGCCGTCCCAGGATCGGATGGAGGGGTCCCATCTGCTACGCGTAAAAGTGACCCATCGCCAAAGTTGCCTTCGGTGCGGGCTCGTCGGGGCCCCCCCGGATCGCTGAGCGCGATGCGATAGCGGCTAACTGCGCGCTTGGATTTGGCCACGTTGGGCCCCCGTAGTCCGCGCACCAAAGGTCACCCTTGCCTAGGGTCACTGGTCTGGTTCCAGCTCGGTTCCCGTTTTGGTTCAGTTCGGTTTCCCCTGGTTCGGTTTTGGCTCCTGTTTGGTTCCAGTTCCCGTTCGGTTCTTGGTGTTTTTGGTCCGTTCCCATTCGATCCAATCCGGTCATGGTTCCCGACTCGTTTCGGTTGGGTGTCTTTGACGATGGCAACTGCTTGCGCGAACATCCACCACGTTTGTGAGTCCTTCAAACAATCGAACGCGCAGGCTGGTGCATGCCGCCTCGTTTATACGGCGACCATGTTGAATCCATAACACCGGTCATCTCATGCGATCGTTGTCTTATTCATTGTTTTGCCGATCGGCGCGGCCCTCGCCCCCCCCCTCCCTCCCTTCATAGAGTAGATTTTGGCGGTTTGGGGCGCCTGTTTCGAGCAGGTGGAGTCTTCCCCATGGGACGCACTGTTGCAAACAGTCGCATTCAGCAGAGGTCCAGAGCCAGACCCCCCCCTCCCCCCCCATTGTCGAATCAACGAGTAAGAAACCGTTCACCATCGGCAATAGCAACGAAGTTCACTCCGAGAACCGCAGTATCAGCGATGCAAGTGATCAGTTCGGTGGCGACAGCTCTTGCAATTCATCTGGGTACTTCCGCGCCGCGCCGCTTCGTCCACGTCTGGTATATGCGTCCCAGTTCTGTTGGCATCCCGCTCTCCTTCTAGGCTTCGTTTGCCCGATCGCTCCAACAAGCGAGCTGTAGATCATTTGTCTTGCCTTATTTGGCGGCAAGATGCTGGCCATGATGATTTTCCCATATGCGTATCGCATGCGGTTCTTCTTCGGTGAACCTAATCGGAGGCACCTTCCAACGCACCTCCAACCCTCCCTTGTGGCTTGAGAAGGGTTCTCGTGCTCAAGTGTTCGGCGCAGCGTGACTTGCAGTCGGCTTGGCACGGCCGACGCTGGAACTGACGCAATCACGAGAGCTGTTGGTATTTGGAGCGATGGGGACACCTATCGTGAACCCAGCTGAGTATCACCTTCTCATGGCTCGCCATTCGCTGAGTGCGGATTGCTAGTCAGTATTTTTGTAGCACCACGAGAGTTGGAAACTCCGCGGAGGTCGTGCATTAGGTAGGTCGGAGGTCACTGACGTTGCGTATTCAACGCGTTTCGCGTTTATTGCCTCCCCACAGCGTCCCCGTAATTGTTGAAGAAGGACGGGCCAAGGTGGCCGAAGGCAGGCCCAGTGCGTTCCAAGAAAGGTCCAAAACGTGCCCGACGGGCTGAACCCGGTACAAGTATTGCCCTTCACATGCTCCAGGGCCGAACGGAATCCTAAGACATCGTCACGAGATCCCCATGATGCCCGAAAAACTCAAACAAGTCCGCGACGCCAGACATGCGCTTCGCATTGTCGCGAAACTATCGCGATCACTTTTCTGCTCGTGGAGGCGTCTTGGGAGCCCCTTGGGGGCCTATGGGATCATCCTGGGAGTCTTTCGGGTTCGTCGTGGGGTCGCCCTGGAGCCTCTGGGGCCCTACTGGAGGCTTCTGCTGAGGCGCACCTTGGAGCCGTCTGATTGAATTTGACGATCGAAGCGGCTGACATACAGTCAACCTACATAGTAAGGATGGGAAACCTTCCCAAGGGAACCCTTGCATCTTTGCCCCCTCGGCCCATCCTTAATTAGCGACTCTCGCTGGCCAACCTCGTTCGAAAAACGCTAACGTTGCCCTCAAAGGCCCTTGCATCCTTACCGCGCATCCTTATGATACGGGTCGACTGCATTATTACAGGAGCACGCACGGTTCATCACTTGTGGTGGCCTGTCGGAGCCATTCCGCGCTCTTCGGAGTCTTTGGGGGGCCATCTCGGTGCACGCGGCGTCGCTGTCGCCCAGCCAAGAATCCAACTTTGTCGACGTGGGCGCTCTGGATCCCGTCCGCTCTGTATTCCATCTTTGGCCGCCCTGCGTCGGAGAGACGATCTCGGCGGGGAGAGGGCAGCATGGGCGATGACAGGCGCGGATGATGTACGATGGCCGGTCGGGCTTCTGAGAGAAGACCGACGGGATGCGCGGAGTTCTTGGGGAGGAGAAGCGGGGGGAGGGGGGTGCAGCTCACCCAGAAGTTTCCCAGTGTTTGTGTGTGTGTGTTTGCATGTGTGTCTGTGTGTGTGTGATCCTCCCCTAGTGCGAGAGCCACTCCGAGAAAACGAAGGGGAGGGCGATGGCGCCGCCCGCGCGGGCAAGCCGAGGGCGGGACAAGCGCACCCCGAGGCACGCCAACATCCCTACGACAGATCACGCCCCTCGAACGAGCGGCGGAGCCGATCACAGGGGTGGATGGGGCGCTTACGTCCTCGTGCCCTCCGCTTGGGACCGCAGGGATGCACCAGTGCGGGGATCGCAACCGCCGATGATGCGGTCAAGCCTCCACTGATCACACGAGATTCCGGAAGCTCAGGCTGGCAAATTTGCCAGAGGCTCAGGATGGGTCAGCCCTTGGTGTGTGTGTGTGTGTGTGCAAGGCGGGCACCATCAAGGGCTTACCGCGGCGGAGCTGAAACACGACGGGCCTGCGCGGGCTCAGCGGGCAGTCGTCTAGAACTTGGGCCCCCGATAGGTCCTGGTCGAAGCGGCGAAGCGAGGGCGTAGTCGATGATGCTGGCTGACTTTTTCATCTTACAGGTCGGGGTCGATGGGGCCAAAATCTTGAGGCCTGCTCATAGCGGAAAATTCGGCTCGATTAGCTTGTTTGTCGAGACGTTGAAATCCCCCACAATGATGAGTGGCGGTCGTACAGCATCTTGGATCGTTGCAACCCCAGCTAAGAGCCCTAGATTATATTTGCTTAGGCCACCCCGTCGGCCAAGTAGATCGAGACGAGGGCAAGAGGACGGTGCCCTGGAAGTTCTAATGAAACTGCGGTGCAACGAGATTCTGCAACCCCTGCAGGAAGCGGCACTCGAGATGCTCCAAAGTCGCGCCCATCGCGGATCAAAATTCCGTGCCCTGGACAGGATACCCGTTCTCGCTGAGCACGGTTGGAGAGAATATCGCATGCCAACCCTCTCGCCCACGCCGCTGCACGATGCGCGGCAGCGCATCCTTCAAAACTCCCACCTCTTGGCAGCGCATGATGTCTACCGCCTCAGCCGCCGTGGACTTCAGGAACTTCTTGGTGGGCCGCCAGCAGCTGCCGTTGATCGTCGCGATCCTGACCGTGTTACCGACGCGGCGACTCTCTTGCTCTGCCCTTACCCTTGCTGCCCGTGCAGAGGGCCTTGGCGCTCTTCTCGACCTTCTTGGTGGCCGCCTGCTGCTGGGGCGTGGGCGACTGGTTCGTTCCGTTCAGGTTGAGCGCCTGGTTCACCGCCTCGCCCGCGCGCTCGGTGCCCGGGGCACGCCGCGCAGCTGCGTCGAGCTCCTCCTCCATGTTCGCACCCTCCGTGTCGAAGCCCGCGATCTGCTCGGCGCTGAGGTCTGGGTTGGCACCAGATGGGGCTGCCGCGCCCGCGCCCGCGCCCTCGGCTGGCGTCGCCGCCTCCCCCAGCGTCTGCTGGGGCCGTCGCTTGCGCGACAGCGGCTGCCGCCTCGGGCCCGCTCTCTGGCGGAGGTGGATGGCCCTGGACGGGGGCGGTCTGGGCCGCCGACCACTCCTGGTGCAGCAACGCTCAGAGCTGCGCGATGGCCGTCTGCATCTCTGCGGACGGGGCGAGCCGTGGCGGGAACTGGTTCTGGATGTACCGCTCCAGCGACAGCGTGGTGTCATTCAAGTACTCCTTCAGGGCCTGCTCCGCTGCCATCTTGTGCTGGGTCTCGAGCTGCTGAGTCTCCGCCGTAAGGTCAGAGACGAGCTTGCGCTGCTTCTCGTAGTCCTTGGTCAACTTGACCATCGCGTCGCAGGTTTTGTCACACTCACTTTGGGCATTCTGCAGCTTCCTCTTGGTGACTTCCAGCTGGCCGTGCAAGGATTTCCTCTGCGGGTCCCAAGGTTTCGCTGCCAACGTCGATGCCTTAACTGCTTTCAACTCTCCCACGGCCTGCAAGTTGTGAGGGCCCGAGACGCTTTCCAGCTTCTTCCAGAACTGGGCAGCCGCCGTGCACACAGCAACTGGATCCCGTGGTTCTGGTTCCTCGGGCGCTCGCACACTTGCAGCTCCTTCGTGATTGCCCTTCAGCGCTGGGCTGCCTGAGCGCCTGCGCCACCTGTTTGGGGTGCCGTTCGTGCTGTCGTCCGGCGATGACTGAGTCGAGGTGGTGGAATCCGACCGTCGACCGATGAAGGCTGCACCGCATTGACCACAGAACTTGAACGGCTTGTCAGCCCATGTCTACCGACTGGCAGCAGAGATACTTGCGACCTCCACTACGGCCACGGCTCTCTGGCCGACTGCCGCCCATGGCTGCGAGCGGGGGGCCTCCAGACTGAGCTGCGGGTCCGGAGAGGTGCGCCAGGCTGGCGCGGCGAAAGTGCAACCTCAGCACCTCAACAGTCCGAGCCAGAACGGCTTGAGCCAGGAACAGGAGGAGGGAAGAGGAGAAAGAGGAGTAGGAAGAGGAGGAGGAGGAGGAGGAGGAGGAGGAGGAGGAGGAGGAGGAGGAGGAAGAGGAGGAGGAGGAGGAGGGAGGAGGAGAGGAGGAGGAGGAGGAGGAGCACTAGAGTGAACCCATGATGCATCAATGCACCCTCCTGTTCTAAGCCGCCTCCTCACAAGTTTCTGAATATCCCTTTCCCTGCTGGAAGAGCCCCCCTTGAGTGACGAACGCCCTGTGGCCTGCCGCCTCGGCAGACCTTGTAGCTACAAGAGAGACGCATGAGGGGTACGACGATAAAGCTCACGGAAATGTCAAGCGATTGCCTCGTTTTGAAAGTCATCTGCCTTCTGTGCGTGTAACTGCAGCGCAGTTCCAAACGTCTGGCAGCAAACTCTGCGGAAGTCGCAGGCGAGACCCCCGCTTTGAAAATGAGTTGCCCTTCATCCGTGTGGCTGATGCACAATTCGCAAGTTCGGGTCTTAGAGTTTATGGAGATCTCAAGCGAGAGTCCCAGTTTGAAACGAGCTGGCCTCTCTCCCTCTCACTGTTAGAAGTTTTTAGAACGAATGTGCAGGACGCTAGCGCGAGAGCCGCATTTTGAAAACCGCCGGCCCTCCATCCACGTAGCTGCTCGGAGCCTTGACAATGTGACGGTGCTAAGAGAGCGCCACATTCTGAAAATCATTTGTATCTGTGGGTAGTTTTGGAAAACGAATGTGCGCGGCGCTGTTACAAGAACCGCATGTCGAAACCGACCGGCCCTTCAGGATTGTTGGAAGGAAGTCTTGAGCGAAACGCCTGGCTTGGCTTACGGACACGTCTGGTGGTGCGACAGGGGGGACTTACTAATAAGGAAGTGGGATGGACGAGAAGGAGGAGAACGAGAAGGATGATGATGATGATGATGATGATGATGATGATGATGCTGATGCTGATGATGATGATGATGATGATGATGAAGAGGAGGAGGAGGATCAAGACAATGAGGATTCATGCACTTTCTGGCCTCCATGTTGCAGGTTGGAGCCCGCTTTCGATCCATACTCACTTTCGCAAGTCCGTCACATTCTGATCGCTTTGCGTCGCCGGATATGTTGTCCGCTCGCCGACCTTGGCTGTCGGATAGCGCGGAGGCGGGGAGGGGCAGCAACAAGGGGGATTCGCATGCTCCTCCCACTGCCACGAGCACGGAATTGAATCGCGCACTCGGCAACGCGCGATGGGCCTATTCAGCATGATTTTCCTGTATGTCTATGATTGGTACCTGTGTGCACATGTTTACATGTATGTATGTTTGTGTATACATATGTAGAGTCGGGTTTCGGTGGCCGAGTGCTTCCTGATGTGTGGAGCAAGCTCTCGCGCATTTCTATGTGGCGGCTCCTCTTGTACCCAACCGCCTGCCTTAGCAGCAAGAGGCCGTGAACTTAGCCTCGTTTTGAATGTAGGTGCCAGCGCTGATTCTGCTCGAATGTGTACTCTTGTCCGCAGTGGCTTACTTCATCACTTTGGACTCTCCAGATTGCCAAAGCAAATTCTAAGCTCGATGAGCCGTCACCCTCCACGTAGTCATGCATGGCTTGTAGTGCACATCAATGGTCCTACTTCCCGCATGTGTTTGCTTTGGCAGGAGCTAGCTCTGCTGATTCGTGGGGTGCCATTAACCCCCCCAACATATTGTTGTGGGGTGCCGCAGGTAGGTTGCGCAGGCTGTGCGACGGCGGACTGGCCTATCCGTATCGCTTCGCCGCAGCACGCCTGGGAAGGAGTGGGTGATGGGATGATGATGATGCTGATGATGATCATGATGATGATGGTTATGTTGATGGCAACGGCGACGATGATTCAGATTATAATGATACTAATTCTAATGATGATGATTAGGAAGACGATGATGATGAAGACGAGGACGATGACGATGATGATGATGATGGTGATGATGATGACCATGATGGTGATGAGCTGCTGATGATCATGCGCCTGCAGTTGCTGATGATTACGATTATGTTGATGACGACGATGATGATGACCGGCGGTTGTTGTTGGTGAGGATGATGACGGTCATGAGATTGTTCATGTTGGCAATGATGATGACAGTGCTGACAATGAGGTTGATACGTATTCTGAGGATGAGGATGATGATGATGCTGATGAAGATGATGACGATAATATTGAGGACGATGGTGATGATGCTGGCGATGGTGATGATGATGCTGCGGACGTTGACGATGATGGTGACGATGACGATGACGAGGACGATGACGATGACAATGATGCTGCTGCTGCTGATGATGATGATAGTTATGGTGATGATGATGCTGATGTGGGGCAAAAGGAGGATGATGTTGATGCTTATGAGTATGATGATGATGATGATGATGATGATGATGATGATGGTGGAGGTAGTGGTGATGGTGGTGGCGATGACGATGACGATGACGATGATGGTGATGATGGTGCTGATGATGCTGATGATGTTGATGATGATGATGGTGGTGGTGATGATGATGTCGATGATGCTGAACACGATGCTGCTGATGAGGTTGCTGATGCTGACTATGAAGATGATGATGCTGATGATGATGGTGGAGGAGGTGGTGGTGGTGATGGTAATGGTGAGGATGATGCTGATGATGCTGATGCTGATGCTGGTGATGATGCCCATCATGATTATGAAGATACTGATGGCGCTGATGACGCTGATGTCGATGATGATAATGATGATGATGATGATGATGATGATGATGATGATGATGATGATGATGATGATGATGGTGGTGGTGGTGGTGGTGATGATGATGACCAGGATGGCGAATCGATGAGGAATATGGTTGCGATGGCGACGCGGCAAACGGATGTGGAGGAGAGCAGTAACACATCCAGCGCGCGTCGCTGATGCTGTAACGTGTCCTCTTTGGGAGGGTGCTGGTCTTGGCTTCGGAAGAGGAGGAGGAGGAGGATCCAGAGTAAACCCATGCTACACCAGCCATGCAGAGGAGTACCAGAAGGAGGGAGAAGGGGAGGAGGGAGGAGGAAGGGGGAGGAGGGAGGAGGAAAAACAATAGGAGGGAAGGAGAAGGAGGAGGAGGAGGAGGAGGAGGAGGAGTAGGAGCAGGAGGAGGATGAGGAGGATTTGGAGGAGAGCCAGACAGTAAAAGCCAGGATGCGCCAACGATGCTGCAACCCCTCCCGTCCAAGGCCCCCTCCTGAAACAGCCCCCCGCACCCTACGGGTCTGCCACCCGGGCGAGGGCGAGCTCCCCGTTTTGACGACAGGGTTGCCTTGCATCCTTCCAGCGAGGCATGAGGGATGAGCGAGGTATCGTGACAGAGTTCAACGAGGTGTCCAGCGAGAGTCCCTGCTTCGGGAAGGAACCGCCCCCCCCATCCATTAACTGTTGCACAGATCCTACACTTCTTGCCACCATGTTAGAGGAAGTCACAAGCAAGCGCCTTGTTTTGGAAAGGAATTGTCCTCCACTCGTGTAGCAGCGACATGCTTTAGAGTTTGTGGTCGCAAATTCCTAGGGCGTCTCACGCGAGAGCCCCATCCTGCAAGTGGAAGCGTTCTCTCCATCCTCGTAGCTGTTGCAGAATCGTAATACGAATGTGCGCGGCACTACGGCGAGCGGCGAGAGCTCCATTTTAAACGAGCGCCGCCCTCTATCCTTGTAGCTCTTGCCATTTTGTTCAGACGAGTGTGCGCGTCGCTAAGGCGAGAGCCCCATGTTGAAAAGGAACCTCGCTGCGTCCGTGTAGCTGCTGCAGAACTTGGACACGAATGTGCCAGAGCCTCATTTGGGAATGGTTCCACCCTCCATCCCTGTGGCTGTTGGAAATGCCAAGCTTCAGGATCATAGACGGTGAGGAAGTCTCAAGCGGATCGCCCGGCCCGCCCTTCCGTCTGCTGGCGCGAGAGGGAGAAGTTATTTGTAATGCACAGAGGTGAAGGGGAAGAGGGGGAGGAAGAGGAGGAGGAGGAGGAGGAGGAGGAGGAGGAGGTGGAGCAGGAGCAGGAGGAGCAGGAGGAGGATGAGGCTTGCCACATTTTGACCTCCTTGTGGTTCTCTCCCCACGTAGCCACGGCTGGATACGAGTCGCAATGATGGTCAGAGCGCGCTCTTCCTGGTCCAGGGGCCGCTCTTGAAGGAGGGGGGGGGGAGGTGCGGCAGCAGGAGCAGCGGGAGACGAGGAGCAGGCTGCAGGGATGCGAGGAGGAAGATGAGGAGCAGGAGGAGGAGGAGGAGGAGGAGGAGGAGGAGGAGGAGAAGGGGAGGGTGCAGCAGAGGTGGGAGGAGGGAGGAGGACGAGGGACGCGGCGGATGAGGATGATCATGATGAGGATGACGAAGTTCGGGTGGAGCAGGTTCGACAGGCGAAGGATAACGATGACGACGATTATAGGCACGTAGGAGACATGTGAGGAGGCGGAGGATCTGCTAGAGGTTCGAATACTATGAGCAAAACTATTCATGCTACTAGTTCGAATCATGATAACAGTACAAATCATACTCAGAAAAGTAGCAATACGAGTATTACCACTACTGGTACGAATAATGGTAGTACTACTACTACTAGTAATACCACTCATAATCTTAATACACATCATAGTAATACAAATACGAATGAGCGTAACAATGAGAGGAAACAGAGGAGGAGTAAAAGGATGACGTGCGAGGAGGAGGAGAAGCGGCTTCGGGGAGGGCGAGGTTCGAAACGGAGGAGGAAGTTGGCGTCAAAGGAGGCCAGCACTTTCCGGCGATGTCGCACTGCGTTCTCCCGTCCAGCGCCTCTTCCTCGTAATGCAACCCGTCACTTCTTTTCATTCCGGTGAGCGCCCGCTGGAAACGAGAGGATCCTATCTCC